TTTTTTTTTGTTTTGCTTTAATATATATTATTATTATACTTTTAATTTATTAAGAAATAAAAAAATGTAGAATTTTAAGAAAAAGTATAATGTAATGGTATAATGAGTATTTTATATTAAAAGGGTATGACATTAATTATTTAGGATATAATAATAACTCTACCCCTATTATTAAATTTGATGTAATGTGAAAAGGAGTATTTGAACTGGTTCCAATCCAGTTTTGATCCAGTTCAAGGGTTTAAAATGTAAAGTTATATAATTTATAAGTGTGAACAAATGTGAACACACAGTGTGAATACAAGAAAGATTTTTTGGTTTTACTTTAATATATCTTTAGATTTATATTTCATAAATTAAAATTTTTCTTTTAAAAATTTACATTTTTAATTTCTTTTTAATCTTAAAAAGACTTTAAACAATGAATTTTGAAATGTTTCAAATTTAAACTTTTTATAAACTTCATGTTTACTTACTTACTTGTTTATTTTTTATTATTTTTAAAAATAATTTTTAAATTTTTTTCTTAATAAAAATTTAAATTTATAACTCATAAACAATACTTAAAAAAAAAAAAAAAAAAAAAAAAAACCAAAAACTCCAAGAATATTCTCCGTCCAACACGCTCTTACTCTGGCGTGCAAAAGTTGAGCTATGACATACCGCTTAAAAAAATCCTATAAAATTTCATCAAGACAAAAATTGGATCAAGATGTAGCGTCCAAATCAATTTCCATGAAATTCCTATTTATATATTAGTTCTTTATTTCCTACTTAGCGCAGCCAAAAACAGCTATATTTCCTAAGTCAAAAGAGATACAGTACCCATCAAACTAGGGTCTCGTCTCGTGAGATGGTTTCGTGGTTCCCACATGTAAATACTTTTCATAATACTAAAGGATGCATTTTTTTTTTATTACTTAATCCCTTATTAAACTCAATAAACTCTGCACTTGGCCTTACAGTTGAATTGGTTAATGATGCGTATCCCCAGTCTCATGGATATGGTTCAATTCCTCTCCCCTTCCCCAAAATAATTGCACTTGTACAAAAAAAAAAAATAAAAAGCAATAAATTCCGTATCTACTTTTTTTTTTTTTTAGCTAAATATTAAGCTTTTGCAGTTTCTAATACATTTTTTAGATTGCACATTTTAGAATTGTTGATAGTGAAATATTGCTCCTTATTAATAGTTATAATATATACAACTCATCATGCAGAAAATAAACCATACATTACTTTTTTATATCAAGCTTATTACTTATATCCAATATGTATATATATATATATATATAAAACACCAGAACAGAAGATCAAAAAGTAAAAATTAAGAAAAACCAA